GTTCTAACACGCCCCCACATATCTACCTCACTATGTGGGAAGATTTGCATAACACCCGTTGACTGTATAAAAACATGGACGTAGTGTCCGTGACGTCACCCGTAGGTTCCTGAAGAGGTTTTTGAAGCTCAAAGTGGGCAGAGCCGGCCGTCGCCATCTTGGCAGCGCGTCACCGCGCTTCACTCCCGGATAATCGAAAATGGGCAAAAAGGCGGGAGCTGGTTGCTGAAGCCACGCCCACCTAGCTCGACGGTGGTGACGGCAGCGGCAATCCACCTGTCACTCAAGTGGCCACGCCCTTAATTATGCAGAACTTTAAGGCTTAATATAATTTAAACGGATGACTTATAAAAAAATTCACCCCCCCTCACAGTTGTCATGAAGTGCAAAATTAGCTATATAGACCAAAATAATTTTTTGAACCAGGCTGTAAACATGTTTTTTTCTGCTGTAAAGTTGGGCATTTTAACATGGGGAATCTATGGGATTGACTCCTTTTTGCAGCCAGCCTCTAGCGGCCAGTTGATGAATTACAGTTTAAGTCACTTCCTTGTTGGCATCACGAGAGAGAGCGGGAGGTTGCCGCTTGGTTACAGTAGGTAAAAACAATTTCCATAGATAAATAGCTGACACATTAATGCAAACAACAACTAGATATGTTTAAATTGGGTAACACGTTAGTACAGGGACCAATTCTCATTATTAACTAGTTGCTTATTAGCATGCTAATTGCTGTTTATTAGTACTTAGTACTGTACCAACACAATGAGGCACGACTTTAACAAAATCAAATCAAATCAAATGATCAAGACCAGTTTAGAGCTATTCTGCTTTACTTGGTGTTGAAAATAAAATTTATATGGCAAAGAATAAGCAACACCACATTTTAAATTAATCTTTTCTGTTTTAAATATAAAACATAGCTTATTAAAAGCTTATTAGAATCTAAGATGTCATTGTATTACAGGTGTTTTCAAAAGGCTTTTGCTCATATGCATATCAAAAAGGTTAAAATCCTAATCAGTATAATTTTGTAGATGCTTACTACTTCAAAAATTATAATGCCTCTGTTTTAAACCACAGGGCGATCAGGGCCCAGTAGGACCACCAGGGGCTCCAGGACTAGAGGTGAGTGCTTTCTTGATAAACGCCTTGGATATCTTGAGTTAACCTTCAATTAGACATCTTAGCGATCGCATTGACTTGTAGCCTATTGACATTCTGTGGAACCTCATTGGCTCATGACCAGAGGCTTCCTTTAAAGTCGTTGATGCTGGTTTATATTTTCTTGTAATTTTATCATTTTTTGTTGTGTTACAGTTGAGCATTTAGCGTAATATAGTAATAGACTTCAGACACTCCTGTTGGTTTATGTCACTCAGCAAAGACTTTTATAATGTCTTAGTTTTAAAACCCTCCAAATACAACAGTCTCCCTCTCTCCCAAAACAATTTCACAATAGCATCCAGACTTAACCCTGATTCAGCAATGAGGGTATAAAATGTAGTAAAGTATAGTCTGTCCTTATGTCAAAGCCTGTAATACAAACAGCTGCCTGTACCTGACAAGAGATGAATTTAAATGAACAGTTCATTGCATTTAACCCAGTTTTTCATGTACAAATTTTGCCAAAGATCCCACGATTTTAGAGAGTCTGTCCAAGTGAGGCCAGTGTGGATAATTTAGCTAATGAGGCAAAAGGGTCAGACATTAGCTAATAGATGACCAAGGGATATCTATCCAAGCTCCAACATAAACACTTCTGAGTATTGTTCACTGGATTTGTGAGACTGAAGTTGATGCATCTGTTTCTGAATTATTTAATGAAGCTGTGCTCTCCCTCTCTCTCTGGGAGAGCTCATATATTGGTGAATGGAGGAGATTGGTCCCAGGAACAGGGGGTAATGAGATGTCAGGGAGTAGATTTAGAGGACTGGGAGTCCAGTACTATGGGTCATTTCTACTTTCTGTTCAGGGCAGACCTGGGAGGAAGGGTTTCCCTGGGAATCCAGGGGAGGATGGAATGAAGGTAAGAATTCATGACAGCCAAATGGCCACTATAATTTAGACTCCAATTTTCCATTAAATGTGTTTCTTCAACTATTTGACCAAGTTTGACCCAATGGAAAATCTTTAGACTCTCAATCTCAATAGTTTTTCTATTTCTTTAAGTAATCTATTCCTTTAAGTAATCTATTCTTAATGAAAATTCCCACCACATTATTTCATCATCACACCATGTTTAACCATATAAAGCCTTATGCATGAAATAATATTCAGGATAATTTGTGTTAATATGTGTTTTTTATTGAGTATCATACTTGATACGTCAGGCATTTATGGCTCATATAGTATGGCATAGGAGAAAATAGAGTTCATAAAGACCTCTGTTTTATTCAGGGGCCTAAAATATATGCAATTTGGTGCAGTTACTGATGGACAGAAATACGATTAAATTATGATAGCTGGTAATTTAATCAGTGAGATCTTTATAACAGTTTTTATTACAGGGCTGTTGAATCTGTTGGTGCTTGAATCTGATTGGTTGACAAACGTTCCAAGGTGTGCAATTATTTTCAGGGAACTATTTAAGTGTAATGCGAAATGAATGAAAAGTGTTACATTGTAGAGTACATCTGCTCATGTTGCATCAGATGTCTTTATACTCGCGATTTGCAGCGTTGAGCATTATAACCATTCATACACCTTTCTGTTGAGTTTATGAATGCAATGTCCAATCAGAGGCGTTTTGATTCATCACCGCAGAGAACGCCGGAGTTGTTCAAGTGTGCGCGCTCACTGACTGAATTCTGAATGTCCATTCGCAAATTCTGTCATAATCATAAACAACAAAGTGCAAAATAAATGTAAGCGATTGATTTGCTTCAGTGATTATGGGAGTTTTTGTGAAAGTGCATAGCTCACTTTAGACTGAAGTCATGGACTGCCATTAGTGTCCTTTGCTCGCTTTCTTTGTATAATTTATAATAATATTAGTTTAGTTTTTTATGCTACTGAAATAACCAATGTGAAGTCTTAATTTTCTAATCCATCAAAAGCAATTAAAAATGTCAAAAACTTAGCTTGTTTTGTCGGTAGCCAGAATATAACTTGCTTTTTCTGCCTACTTGGTGGGATGACCTGCATTAAAATCTCACATACATCCCTAAATGTTTTAAATGTCATGTGTCGACATGTTTTTGGTTATTGCAGTTTAACTTGTAAAGGCATTCCTTTAATTAAAAACAACTAGTTGGAGATTTATAGGCCTATCCCATTCCCCCC